GAGAAAATTCCTGACACATAAAGAAATATACACTTAAAGAAACATTCTTGAGACATTTCAAGGACTGTGATTTGGGACATTGGACTGAAAGTATCTTTGTTGGCTTTATGAATAAGACTTGTTGTCTAAATGCCTATGGGAATCTTGGTTTGTTTGCTACTAAGACCACTAGATGGGAACTTTTAGAAGATATGTACGTGAAGGAATTTTCTTTGTCTTGCCCCTTCACGAATGGTATAAAAGCTCTGTGTTAACTAACATTAAATTGTCATCTGTTCAAGAGGCAGGTGTCCGTGTATATTATCTTCATCTGTCACCTATCCGTCTCTCCTTCAGGACATCTCACGACCCTTGGGAAATGGAAAAATAAACCATGACATTTCCAGGTTAGCTGTGATTCTTCGCATAAACATGCCATCTTCTACTTCTACGACTGCACAGAATTTCTTCAGCTGTATCAACAGCAAAGACAGAAGACAGAAGGGCCTCAACTGCCCGGACTTGCTTTGCGGCTGGGGGTCCTCAGCGCACCTGGACTTTGTCAATCAGGCGGGCCTCCAAGGCTGGCTCCCAACATGCGCCTGTGATTCCAGTTACTTGGGAGGCTGAGGCAGAAGGATAGCCTGAGCCCAGCAGGCAGACGCCAGGGTGGCCGTGAGCTTGCCACTGCACTCCAGCCTGGGGAACAGAGTGAGACTCCAATTAAAAAAAAAAAGAGAATGTGGAATGCTGCATCCGGAAACCTTTTTATCTGAAATTTCTGCTTCTGCACCTGGGTTGGAAATCGAGGTTGCTACTCTGTAACAAGTGACTTACATCTTCCAGGCAAGAGTGGGATGTTTCATTTTTACTGATAGAATTTCCAACAGTTTTTTATTTTAGAGAACAAAGTTTCTCAGTGAGTAAGAAAGCATGTCCTTGAGAGAAATCGAATTTCCTGTTAACTTTGCAGCTGGTTTTATCTGCGTCTGTGACTGCATCCTAATGAGATAGCCATTCCCCCTACCCATTACAGAGACGGAAAGAAAGCTATTAAAAGGCCTTTCAGGCCTCTGAACAGTACAGCCATTGAGTGGGGAATAAAACTTTTCAGCTAACTGTGAAGTCAAAACTATTTATAATAATAAAGATGCTACATTGAAACTGTGAAACCCACATCCAAGATGGCCCCTGATAATTTGAACCTCCAGATATTCATGACCCTGCCTGGACCCTGCCCACACCACATAGGGCTAACCGGTATGACCAAGAGGATACTGTGGAAATGACAGAGTGGGATTTCCAAGGCTAGGTCGTAAAAGACACTACAGCTCCCACGCTGGGCTCTCCCTGATCATTTGCATTAGGGGACGCCAGCCATGTTTTCAGGACACTCAAGCAGTTGTCTCTGAAGAAACACAGGACGAGGACTAAGGCCTTCAGCCATGTGACTGAGCCACTTTGGAAGTAGATTCTTCAGTCCCAGCCAAGTCTCAGGAGACTGAAGCCCCGATTGATATTATGACAACAACCTCCTGAGAGACTCTGAGTCAGAACTACCCAGCTAAGCCACCCACTGATTTCTGACACTCAGAAACTGTATGAGTTGGTAAATGTTTATCATTGTTTCAAGGCTCTAGGGTTTGGGATGATTTGTTACACTGCCATATGTAACTAATACAATTAAGACCATTATGGAAGCCGGGCTCGGTGGCTCAGCCTGTAATCCCGTGCCTTGGGAGGCTGAGGTGAGTGGATTGCCTGAGCCCGCGGGTTCGAGACCCGCC